GGTTGAGGGCTTGTCATGGGGCTGTATATCGTTAGGGGAGAATTGAGGATATGAATGGATCCCCAATATGCATAAGTTGCATGAAGCTGATTTGGCGGGCAATATCTAGATACCCAAGGTTTAGGTTAGATAGGTAATGAAGCTTGCCCAGTTATCTATATATCTATCTATCTATCTATCTATTTATCCATATCCATCTCCATCTCCATCTGCGGAGTTCTTCCAAGTACGATCTAACCTAGTATACACGTACACATTCCCCGACTGAATCATGATGTTTCTGTTATTTCCTGTTTATGGTCCCGGTTATGGTCCCGGTTTATGGTCATGGTTATGGTTAGTTATCATGCCCTAATACAGGCATCACTTCCGAGTGGCACGACGATGTTGAGGCCATTCAGAATCTAATATGTAAGTAAGTATTATTATCCGACTGTGACTGATATCATAGAGATATATAAACACGATCAAATCGACAAGACATTTATTTATACTTGAGACTGATTCCTTGTGCATGCCCTTCTGGTTCACACGAATTCATCACGACACCGACAGTCAATTAACCCTTGGCTCTCGACGGTTCATGAAGATATCTCGACGTGCGGAATCCCCTATGACAAACCCTCTTTACTCTCTGCGTATGCATTCTCAGCATTTACTCGTGGTCCCGTGCTCTCTGAATTGAATGTATCCCACCGCATTCGTATCATGGCCCCTGATGTGGTCAGAAAATAACGAGATCATTGGCCTTCAGACTCCGTGATGTGCCATCCTTGGCGAAGCCGTGGATATCTCAGAACTCTACTCTGGTTCGAAGGATTATACAGGATATTATAGTATACTGACTCCCATTGAAGTCCAATACTCTCCAAGTGACCTCTCCTTTATTGAATCTTATGGGCCCCTGGAAAGAGTGAACCCATTCTTCCTAGTTCTCCCTCAACAATGGACCGACCTTATACGGTTTTATCACCTGGAAATCCAACCGGTCCGGCAGCGTGTCCTGCGTCCAGTAAATCATGCCCTCTCGCAACCAATGCGCATATGTCCCGGGCACATTGTCCGATCCGTCATGTCGTCGCCACAGGGAACCCAGCGTCTCGCCGACGACTTGCACGATATACCCATGCGCCAGCTTGAACCCAAAGCTCCTCGACAGGCACGCCTCGACAATCTCCCTTGCGCGCTTCTGATCCGCGCTCTCGCCGCCCCCGGTCGCCGGCAGCGGCAGCGAGAGCAGCCGGAACGCCTCGGCACCGCTCCAATCCGTAAACTGCTGCACGAGCTGCGAGCCGACCATGTAATCGACGGCATACACATGCTCGGCGCAATACGCGGGTCCATCCCAGCCATCCTCGGCATCCACGAGCCCCATGACGACAGTCAGACAGTAGCCCTGGATGATGTAGTCCGTCAGCTTCTTGCGCACGTCCTCGGCGAACCGCGGGCCGATGAGTCCCGGCCCCTTGAGCAGCGGATTCGCATGCATGCCCTCCGTGCTCCGCCGTCCGCCCTCGGCATTCCAGAGCGCCAGCAACAGCCGCTGCGCGCGCGCGAAGAGCGGATTGGCCCGCCTGGACGCGTAGAAGTAGTTGGCGAGGTCGCGGTGATCGACGGGCCCGAGGTTATACGATATGACATCGTACGGCGAAGCCGGATCGCCGAGGGTGCGATGCCACAGCCGCTCGAGGTCGCCGATCTGCAGGTGGCCGACGTCCGTGTAGACGCCGCCGTATCTGTTTAAGAGCGGCCAGCGCACGAGGTCGGAGGTATGCTGGCGGGCCCATTCGCCGCCTATATCGCCTTCTATAAAGGCTTTGGGGAATACGGCTGGGTCGTGGATGTCGACGAAGTGGGCGATGTTCAGGGCGGAGTTTTCCACGCGGTTGATCACGTAGATGCGCCAGCCGTGCTTTGTTAGCCGGCGGTGGTGGGCGCGGACGTTGCGCTTGGTATAGGGGTGCACTGACATAGATATATTCTCATGTCAACTGTTTGCTTTGCTTTGCTTTGCTTTGCTTTCCCCCCCTTGAATAGGGTATGTGAAGGATGTTGCTCCATCTCTCTTTGATCCTTGTCTCAAAGACCGGAAGAAAAGGAAGAAACGGAAGAAAAAGGAAGGACGTGGGAGGAGTGTTACTCACTGCCCTCATAACCACTGTGCCAGAAGAAAAAAATGTTCTTCATCGAGTCTAGTGAGATCGACGGAGGGTTCATCAAGTCATGGTCGATCTCAACGTCCGGTCGGAGATCCAGTTCATCGGCGAGGATGGCGTGGCAGCCGGCTGGCATCGAATATTCGAAAGAGCCGGCCGCTGGACGCTCGGCCTCCTTGCTTGATGCCGGGATGGCATCCTTGTTGATCTGTAAGAGGGCGTTGACGGTACTCATGTTGATGAGTCGCTACGTAATGAATGTCTGGTGTTCTTATGGTGTATTGTGCCGTATCATAAGGGGGAGATGAGATCGAGATTGATGATCGACGATCGCCGGTCTAAACAATCAAGACCCTCGGGATAAAATGAGATTATGATGCTCGTGTGGTTCCGTTGGAAGATATCTGGGACAGACTCGTGCCGGCCTCTATGTTATATAGATCAGATGGCACATCAGACAGATGCACCACGTCCTCCCTTATACGACTCCCGCGATGGCTCGTGCAAGGACATCCCATCCAGCGTATGCTCCGGCAGAAGCTTCTCCTCATCAGCTTTGACCTTACTAAGACAGGTCGGCATTCCATTGACCATGTTCCATAAACT